TTGTTTCACGGATTTAGTGTGAGCACTCTATCTTATTGGAACACATTCTAAGCGTATACACTCAATTGAAGAATCGTTGTCGGGTTCAGAAACCTATAATTAGAACATAGAAGGTGAGACGGAAATGGCACATGGGAAGTATGCAATTAGATGCATGCGGTGACCGGCGACCCGTGCCATCATCCACTGTTTTTAATACGCGTTTGGCATTCTAAGGCCACGTCCACACTATGCCGAATAAATTTGAATCCGCAACTTTCACACCAAAACCGAACAAAAAGTTTTCCGTCCACACATGAAAACGAATAAAATGTTTCGCGTCCACACTAGTCTGATTAGAGGCGGCAAAAATGTTCCCATGACAATCATGACGTCATCGTGTTCGAAAAAATTCGGATACGAAATGTTCTCCGTCTACACTAATACGGCTAGCCGGCGTTTTCAAATTGTTCCACTCTGGAGACCGTATTCGAAAAAATTCGTTTTCGGTGAAGAATTGTTTCGGATTCGCCCGGACTAGTGTGCACGGTATGCCTAACCAAATAAATAAAAATTCGGATTCAAATTTATCCGGCATAGTGTGGACGGGGCCTAAACCGACTGCATAAATGGCGCAAATGAATAAATTATAATATAATTATGTCATTTTCCATGTGTTATTTCGGCCTCAGCTTTTAGGTTCAAGGTTTTTGAACCCGACGATTCTTCAATAGAGTGTAGTTGGTATGCTTAAAGACTAGAAGCTCCTCCTCCAGTACTCGTACCCCTTAATCAGACCCTTTAGTATTTCCATCCCTTAGTTCAGCTATTTAAGGACTCTCCTTGCTAAAACATCTCAGTATGATACGAAGTAATATTTCAAAGCCGACAATGAGGACTGGAGGGGATTTCAAGTGAAATCCCGTCCAGTCCGATATTGGAGGCTTTGAAATGACTTCTCATCTCATTAATTATTCGACTTGGAGTAACTGGAACAAAATTAATTCAGTCCCTGGACTGAATTAATTTTGTTCCAGGTACTTGGACTGAATTAATTTTGTTTCAGTTACTCCAGACTGAATGCATTCCTTTCACAGCACTTTACCAGGTTTCAAGTAACATCATGTGACCCAAAAATAGCCCATTGATTGGCTGGTTTACTCATGAATTATTAATGAGTATGAGAACATACCTTACAATCTTTACCATATATTTGTGTTTTTTCTATATAAGTATATTTAGCTGATCTAGTTATGTGTAATCCTAAGATTTACACTAGAATAGTATATTACGGAACCATTATAAATATTGTTTTCTGTGCCCAATGTAATCAGTTATTAGTAGTAGAAGAGAATCAGTTATGAAAGACGTGAAGAAAAATTGAAACCGGTTAGCTCAGTTCGTTGAGCCACGGACTTTCGTGCGGGACATCATTACTAACCAACATCGGAGGGAAGTAAAAGAACCAATGAGGACGTAAAGAAACCCTGGCAGTGACCACCCTCAGTGCCTACACTTCATACTAACCATCTCTCATGCTTGTAAATTGTATAAAAGCAAACTGTCATTCACAACTCAAAGTAAAGCCCCTCTGATTATATTGTATAGAAAGGGCGCTATATAAATCATAAACCATTAAAAGGTCCATGATCACATGTTTAAAACAACTGGCATCTGCAGTAGTTTCCCAGTAGAATTAAAATATTGTCCCACAATTACGTATACATTTACCAGTATCTGTTTCAATAAATTCTGCAAGAATTGCAAGGCAATTTTCTATATTTTTAAAGGACAGGAAACAATACAAACAATGTATAATCAAACTTCTGCTATCAGATCAGAGTTTTAAATCCTGAGGTATCTAGCTAATTAGCTGAGGTTGGGGGACATAGCAACGGTAACTACGGGGAGTGGAAGCATGAATTATTCAGTCTCTTTTGAAAACGTTCTTTGTGTAGTTTCCTTATTCACTCATGCAGTATTTAATCAAATTATTTTAAAAAGTCAAATTATAGGGGAAAAAGCATTTGTTTGTTGTCAGTTAATTAGTAACGGCAGTATCGAGCATTGCAACAGGTCCGAGGGGGAGGATGTTTTTACTGGTACCCATCTACTGCATCAACAAAATCGATTTTCTATTTTGGTTCATTGTTTTGACCTCGTCCCTCATCATCAGTATCATCACCGTCCGCATCATCCTTCATTATTATCCTCATCATCACCATCAAAGACAATTTCATTTGTACCAAAGACATATTGGCAACAGTATCCCAAGGGCTGATCCAGGGCGGGTGGATTGGGATAGGGTGATTAGACACCCATATATTTGGAGGTTAAAAAAGATGAACTGAAAAAATAACGTAAAATCTTAACCTGGATCCTGGATCCTGGATCCTCCTTTTATAATATAGTGTATTTTGACAAAGGGGTTAT